GTGAAGTCATGTGACCGTGCTGTAGTTCCTTTATAGCCCAACATTAGCTACCTTTAGCTTAGCGGTGATGACGTGAAGTCATGTGACCGTGCTGTGGGGGAGAGTTAGTCTGGGCATTTAGCATTTCACACAAGCTGAGAAATACATCAGTAAAAATACCCAACTGGTGAATTAAAAGTGTCTAAATGAGACGACTAAACGCCATCACGCCCAACAATAGCCCCTTTAGCTTAGCGGTGTGAGTGAAGTCATGTGACCGTGTGTAGTTCTTTATAGTTCCTTTATAGCCCAACATTAGCCTCCTTTAGCTTAGCGGTGGTGACGTGAATTCATGTGACCGTGCTGTAGTTCCTTTATAGCCCAACATTAGCTTGGAGGGAACCAGGGAGATGCTAACTTCAGGGTCCAATACAGAAAACAAAATGATATTCCTGCACTCATCTATTCTGCTAAACATATTGAGTGTTGATGTTTTATCACTACTACAATATCAGCACTTGGCAATGGTATTTTTTGTTATGATTTAAAGGTATTGTGAGGAGTTTTTGGTTAGTGGTTGTACTGCAAAGAAAGGAAGCAAGGTGCCGACAAAGGCAGCACAAAGAGAACATTCCTAGCTGTCTAACATAGATGCTAGCAAACATTTCATTATTTTGAATATGGTGAAATTAGACGTTAATATGGACAAAATATGGACCAATACAAACAGAAGTCATAGCGATATTATGCTGAATGCTCAGAAACGCTGACATCAGGTCTGTCTCTGTACAGTGACGTGGGAAAAAGGCGGGAAAATTGTAGAAGAGACAGATGAGAAAGGAGTAGAGCGTCTTCTTTAAAACGACCAGAAGTAGAAGATATTGCAGAGAACAGGCGGAGACAGGGATTTGAAATGAGTTTTGGAAACACTTTCGTGGTCTTACCTTTAGTTGAGACGACAGCAGCAGCAGAAACATGGAAGAGAAAGAGACTTTGTTAGCATCATGGCTGCAAAACCATCTCTGCATTATCGTGCAAACATAGTTCTGAAAGTGTAATTGATTTATTACAGTTGTTTTTGTAAGACTAGAGAAGTGCACCAAACTTCGTAAATATATTGGAAATCAAACATGTACTGTGATTAAGTACAACTTGAGGTACTTGTACTTTACTTGAGTATTTTCCTATAGGCTACCCTGCCATAATACTTCACTACAATAATAGCTACATTATTACCTCAACTGTATTTATCTTTAAGCTTAAGTGACTTCATGAAATTAAGGGTTAAAAAAACATGATATTTTTATAATTATTTACTGTGTTTAAGTGCAACTTGAGGTACTTGTACTTTACGTGAGTATTTTCTTATCCTGCCATAATACTCCACTACAATTAAGATAATAAGATTAGATGTCCTTTATTGATCCCAATTTGGGAAATGTTTGCATTGCAGCAGCATAAAAAATAAAGCATTGCACATAAATAGAAATTAAAAGAGTAGGAATAAAAAATTCTAAAATGTAAACATCTCAAAATAGAAATAAAACAGCATTAAAAAAGTATACAAGTTGAAATACCAATTTACAGTAAACTAAATAAGCAGGATATTATATACACATTAAAGGTGGGGTATGTCGTTTTGGAGAAACCAGCTCGAGTGGCTAGAATTTGAAAATACACAGCCGGAAGAAATCTGCCACCTCCTTCAGAGCCCCTCCTCCAACACACACGAACGCGCACATGACCAATGAGGGCACGAGATAAGTTTGTGCACAGATGGAAGGCTGACAGGCAGGTAGGCCATCCAGTTACTTTAGCCGGCTCAGATGATTGGTCGTGCTTTTTACAGCGAGCTTCCACAGATGATATTTTTTATGTATTTTTTCTCAAAGCACTTTAAGATATTCATTGCTATCGGGATGTTAAGAGCATTCCATGGAATATAACAAAAAGTGTATCTCGAGCCGGTTTCTCAAACTTACCTACCCCACCTTTAACTACAAGAAACTGAAAGGCATGGGACCACTGTCGACCCATATGCACTCACATTGCCCACCACTACACTCTTCAGGACACACAGTACATGCCTTCATGATGTCTTGTTTATATATCCTTCCAATCAACTGTTTTCTAGCTCAAGAACAAACACACAGATGATATTTCACCGTGATTCCTTCATTTTAAACGCTTCCTGGAGACGTTGACCGGCACCAATTTCTTCTAATGGGAACGCTGTGTAGCTTATCATGAGTTTGACAATCAAACACACACTCACTAAAAAGCCTCCGAGCAAGAGTCAGCGTTACGTGATAGCACGGTGACCTCATGTTTCTGAAATTAGCTCTCAATCTGCAACGAATTGGAAAACAATCTACTACGGCTTCCACAGATGATATTTTTTATGGATTTGTTGTCAAAGCACTTCAGATATTCATTGCTATCGGGATGTTAAGAGCATTCCATGGAATATAACAAAAAGTGTATCTCGAGCCGGTTTCTCAAACGTACCTACCCCACCTTTAAGGTAAATACCATATAAGATCAATTCAATAATTGAGGATAAAAACACAAAAGGGCTAAAACATCTATTTTGCTCCTGACCACGTCATCTCGGTTACCAATCCTAATAAAGTAAGAAGCCCATTTCTGTTGGATTTTCTTGTTATTTGAGTGGTTGTAAGCCCTGAATGAATGTGGTTAGTATTTATAACATATTCAAAGGGGACCTATCATGCAAAATGCACTTTGTGATGTCTTTTATACATAAATATGTGTCCCCGGTGCGTTGGGGAACTCACGCAGCGTCAGAAAATAAAACCTTCTCTCTTTTCCTCCGTACCCAAATCTTTTAAAAACGGGTGTACAACGAGCGGATTCAGATACCTGGCGTGTTTTGGACGCAATCTCGTTTTTGTTTACATTAGCAAGCCACGCAAACACTCAGAGCTAACCTGTACTGAAGAGCACATGTGTTTAAAAAGCAGGAAATAAAAAAAGAACTCACCTTGTGATAAACCTGCAAGAGAAAAAGCATTTGAGCTCCATACTACACTGAACAAAAATATAAATGCAACACTTTTGTTTTTGCTCCCATTTTTCATGAGATGAACTCAAAGATCTAAAACATTTTCTATATACACAAAATAACCATTTCTCTCAAATATTGTTCACAAATCTGAAAAAATCTGTGATAGTGAGCACTTCTCCTTTGCCGAGATAATCCATCCCACCTCACAGGTGTGGCATATCAAGATGATGATTACAGCATGATTATTGCACAGGTGTGCCTTAGGCTGGCCACAATAAAAGGCCACTCTGAAAAGTGCAGTTTTGCTTTATTGGGGGGGTCTGGGGGGGTCCGAAAACCCTAGGGTTAAACCCTAACTCTAACCCTAACATGTCACCCATTGAGCATGTTTGGGATGCTCTGGATCGGCGTATACGACAGCGTGTTCCAGTTCCTGCCAATATCCAGCAACTT